TACTAGTTTACACTTTTATCAACAGTGTAGAAGAGTTCCTTTTTCTCTGCATCCTCTCTAGCATCTGTTGTTTTTTGAGTTATTAATGATGACCATCCTGACTGAAGTTAGGTGGTATCTCAGTGTGGTTGGATTTGATTTTCAAGGTAACCCCTCCATTAAGAATGTCGAAGACTTGATAGTAAACAAGACTTGACAGGTTAAAAAGTCCAGCCAAGTTGTCATTTGGTGAAAGAATATAGAATAGGAAGTTGCTATGGTTTGAATGTGTCCCCCAAGGTTCATGTGTTGAAAACTTAATCCCCAGTGCAAGCGTATCCTGAGATGGGACCTTTAAGAGGTGACTAGGTCATGAGGGCTCTGCCCTCATGGATAAATTAATACCATTATCATGGGTGTGGGTTAGTTATTGTGGGAGGGAGTTCCTGATAAAAAGGACTTATCTTGCCCCTTTTCTTTCTTACTTAGTCTTGCACACTCTTTTGCCTTTTTGCCTCTGATATAAGAAGGCACAGAATAAAAGCCTTCACCAGATGCTGGTGCTATGCTCTTGACCCAACCTCCAAAACCATGAGCCAAATAAATTTTTATTGTTTATAAATTAGCAGTCTGTAATTTTTTTTACAGTAGCAGAAAACAGACTAAAACAGGAATGAAAGGAATTTTTACATAAAATGGATCCTTTTTAATCCTATGAATTTTAATATACTGATTTGTGCATGGGCCTTCGTCCTTTGTGCATTTTGGAAATGCTGGTCAAAACCTCTTACAAATATGTTCTTGTTGAAAAACTCATGTCTCTCAAGCTATTGATGAAAGGAAAGAGGAATTAAATACATAATAGATATGTAGGTTTTTAAAAATTTATTTTTATTAATATTTTACAGACAGGAACTTGCTATGTTTTCTAGGCTGATCTTGAACTCTTGGCCTCAAGTCATCCTCCCATCTCAGTCTCCTGAGTAGTTAGGGCTAAAGGCAAGAGCCACTGTGTCCAGCTCTGTAGCTAGGTAGTGTGTATGTATACATTTGTGTGTGTGTGTGTTGGAGTCTCACTATGTTGCCCAGCTTGAAGTACAGTGGCACACTCATGGCCACTGCAGCCTCAACCTGCTGGGCTCAGGAAATCCTTCTGCCTCAGCCTTCCAAGTAGCTAGAACCATAGGCAAGCACCACCATGCCTGGCTAATAGTTTTTATATTATTTTTTAACTTTTCCATTTAGGCTGATCCCAATTTGGGGCATTTTAGGTTTATTAATGGGTGACAAATCATCTTAGAAACTCAGAAACCCAATGCCCTTGATTAGTTGCTTTTTTCCACAAATAATGAATGGACATTCATGTTTTCATCTGTCTACAGAAGAAATCTGAAAATTGAAAAAGTAATTAAGAATGCAGTCATGATTATTTCAAGAATAAATACACTATATATAGTTGAACCATTTGTACAAAACACTAAACAAAATGGCAGATCCAACAAAAAAATCTACCTGGTCTGTTCCAAGCATGTCTCATTGACTTGCCTCTTGTCAAAGGTAGGAATAGAGGCGTGGAGTGTGGGAGAGGGGTTGGAGAGTCTATAGAGAGACATATATAGTTGTGCACCATGAGTGACATTTTGGTCAATGACGGACAACATATACAACAATTATAATGGAGCTGCCCTACACAAGTGTGCCATTTTAAAATCTCTTATACTACATTTTTACTGTACTTTTACTGTGTTTATATATGTCTAAATACACAAATCCTTTCCATTGTGCTTTAATTGCCTACAGTGTATAGCATGGTCATATGCTGTCCAGGTTTGGAGCCCAGAAGCAATAGGCTGTACCATATAGCCTAGGTGTGTGGTGCGCTATGTCATCTATATTGTTTGTACAGTGACAAAATTGCTTGGTGATGCATTTCTCAGATCACATCACCATCATTAAGTAACACATAACTGTACATGGCAAGAGACAGACACTAGGGTGATGCCAGAGCTGCTGACTCTTCAAGACAACCTGGATGGAACTAGAGTCAATAATACTGAGTGATCTCTCATAGAAACAAAGATCTGAGTATCACATGTTCTCACTCATATAGTGGACCTTGAACATCCACTGTAATACTATAAAAAAAAAAGATTGACAGTGGTGGGAAACTATGGGGGGGAGGGGAAAGGAGATGGGATTAATAGTCAGTATCTGTCTGGGGACGGGGAGACACCCCTTATCAACAAGGGTACCTGAATAAAGCATATTTGTATACCTAACCCTAAACTGTACCCCACAATATCAAAATAAAAAATATTGATTAGTTAAAAAAAAAAGCTGCTATAGCCACAGAAGCCATGTAAGTAGAAAATCTTTTAGTGGCTAGAGCAAAAATGATTAGCAAAAAAAAAAATGTGGAAATGCAATGAAGTGCAATGAAAATCTACTTCAGAAAAACATACTTCCCAGCATATTTTTATTAATTAAAATATTACATCAAGCATTTTTCATGTCTGCGTGCCTGACAGCAAATAAAATCTTTGCCACCGATTAACTGTGACTCTTGGGGAAAAAAAAGTATATAAAGTTAAATAAATTGATGGGAATTAAAATTCAGTTTTGAATAGGGTAATCCATTTCTATCCCAAATGACTCTTCCAGGACAAATTGAAAATATGAATTTATACTTGTGTGTTTTTTTTTAAGGAATGTCAAAAGTTATTGACACTACCTGCATGTTCTACCAGATTCCCATAAATTAACAATTGTTTCTATAGAAGCCAATGCATGAAAATAAAATCGTTTCATGTATTAAGAAAAAAAAAAAAGACATGACTGAAGGAGGAGTGCGTGGCATTAGCTTGGTTCCAGAGCCGAAGTTTTGCATCCTGTTATATGAGCAGGTGACTCTGGCTTGAGTGAAAACATTCAACTGGATCAGTTTTTTCAACTGCTTCTTTCCTTTAGTTTTGGCACCTTGTACATATTTCCCCTTTCTGAATCCTGAATCCATGTTTTTATCTTCTTTTCTTCCTGCCTTTTCCAGGGTCCCTAGTCTCTTGTTCCAAATGTTTGAGATGAGTGATAGTTTTGATCCATGAGTGCCCTCTTCAAATCTAGTGCATAGGCACCCTGGGAGCCAAGGGTGTCTTGGGTTTGTGGAAGCAAAATCATGTGGTAACCTAGAAGAAACTGAAAGGGTCCACCTAAACTGTGTAGTCATGCAGTAGACTATATTAATTCTTTTTTCTTCTTGCTATCTTGCCCTGAGTGCTATCTTGTCCAGGCTTGAACTTCTGGGCTCAAGCAATCCTCCCTTCTTGGCCTCCCAAAGTGCTGGATTGCAGCTGTGAGCCACCGCATCCAGCTTATATTAACTTTTGGTGCTAGACAGATTTGAAATGTTGCAGAAATGAATACATTCAGGAAGCTTTTAAACCAAATTGATGAAACTCCACCAGATAAAGCCTTTACATAAATGTCCCCAACATTTTCAGATTTGCTGGAGGAAGCTGCTGTTCTTTCTTGCTACCTGTATTCTTACTTTGCATAACTTATCAGTTATACGTATATTATCATAATTGTGGTTATTTCTTCCACTTGGAGGGAGAACAAGGACTAATGTCTGTATCCCTAGCACTTAGAATAGGGTCTGACACATTGCAGAGGCTTGGAATATTTGTTAAACAGGTGAGTGCCGTCATATTTCTGTATCAGTCATAGGTTGAATAGAAGGCAGAATCTGTGGTCTGACAGGCCTGAGTCTCAACCCTGGCTCTGCCTTTTATGAGCTGTGCTGCTTTAATCTCTCTGGGCTTCAGTTTACTCATATGCCTAATAGAATTTCTGTGGAGGTTCCACAAAAAAATGATGAAGTATTTGGATGGACATGGCTGTGGTTTGAATGTTTGTGTCCCTCCAAAATTCATAGGTTGATATCTAGTCCCCAGTGTGCTGGTATTAGGAAGTAGGGCCTTTGGTAGATGACTAGGTCATGAGACCAAGGTACTCCCTAATGAATGGGTTTAGTGCCCTTATGAAAGAGAGCCGTGGTGTCTATAATCCCAGCTCTCTGAGATGCCTAGGTGGGAGTTTGAGACCAGCCTAGGCAACATAGCGAGACCCTATCGCTACAATAAAATAAAAATTTAGCTGAGCATGTTGGTGTGCGCCTGCATTCCCATCTACCAGGGAGGCTGAGGCAGGAGGATTGTTTGAGCCCAGGAGTTTGAAGTCATAGTAAGCTGAGATCACACCAGTGCACTCCAACCTAAATGACAGAGCTTCCGCCTAAAAAAAACCCAACAAAACAAAGCAACAACAACAACAAAAAACAAAGAGCCAAGGGAACTTTGTCGTTTTGTCACTACTTCTGCCATGTGAGGCTACAGCAAGACAGCATCATCTGTGAAACAGAGAGCCCTCATCAGACACTGAATCTTGTAGCACCTTGACCTTGGACTTCCCACCTTGTTGAACTGTGAGAAATAAATTTGTTGTATTTTGTTAGCCCCCAAACACTAAGGTAGATATTTTATGGATAGATGTCTATCTGCCACTTATCCTAATTCGAGTTTTTCACCATCCCCTTCCTATTCCCTGTGCTCCAGTGTATAAAAGAGAACCATGGCTGTCTTTGAGCGTTAAAGTAGGGAAGGAATGAACATTTTGCAATGGCTATTCTTTTTCATTATGAAAATCTCAGTTTGCTGTAAGGCATGACTATAAAGCTGTGATCCTTAAGGTTGGAGGAGTGTGGCCACAAGAAGGAACAAAGAAGGCAAGCCCTTTCCTGAGCCTGCACATCTCTGCTTCCTGCAGGGTCAGCTGTGGTGAATTCTGCAGGAGATGTGAGGCATAAGGTGGATGGGCAGAGTGGTGAACAGGGAGACACATTGAGTCACTTGAGAAGCAGATTAACTTCAAACCGCTGGAGGGCTAGACCTTGCAGAAAGTAAACCACTCACGCGTAGCTCTTTCTTGGTTCCTTCCACTAAGAAGACAAGACAGAAGACAAGGAATAGGTACAACAAGATGTAAAGTTTATATACAAGAATATAATGTTTATCTGAAATATTTACAGTGTTGGTTAAAGCAATATTTTTACAACTTTTAAAGGTAAACTACTATGTATATTACAGGTCACCTACAATGGTTTAATTTGCGAGAATTAAGCAAAAACTGTCTTAAACAAGGCCTAAAGTACTCAGGTCAATTATAAAATTAATGTCTCTTACTTTTTATTTGAAGAAATCATGCTATGAGGAATGATGAATGTGCTTTTTTTTATAAATGCAAGTACTGTAGCTGGAATGTGATACATGTAACAGTTTAAATTCCCAAGGAGGGAGAAGATGTTCTAAGACATAGAGACCCTCAGCCTGGAGCTGAGGAGGATGCTGAGATGACCATCAGCTTTATCTCAATGGGGCTTGTGAGCCACAAACTTGGGCCACAGAGCAAAATGAAGCAATTGACGAGTTATAACAACCTCAGTGGGACATGAAAATCAGCAGATTCAAAACCAAACAGAAGAACAAAAACCAGACCGAAGTCACAGTTGCACCTATGCAAGACTAGCTTTAAAGTGAGCTATTTTAAACTCCATAAAAATATTCATGATTTTATTAGTTGGAATATTTCTACAAGATTCGGGTGGGTTTTTCCTTTATGTGAAGACAGCTATCCGTTCCTGGGGCCTCCTAGGGCCTTATAACTCAGGAAATGCCAGGAATGCAAACGTGCAAAAGGCAGGGGGAGGCTGCCCCAGGGGGACCGGAACCGCCGGGACTGTGCCTGGGAGCCTGGAGCTGAGGTCCCCCAGCAGACGTGGCCAGCCGAGCCCTGAAGCTTGCCCCTCGGAACCACCGGGCGCGCGCGGGAGCTAGCACTGCAGCTTGCGGATGCTGCGGGAGATGCGCTTGAACTCTCTCTGCCCCTTCTGCCACCGCTTCACCGAGGTGATCACCAGCTCCCCGCCCTGCTTCTGTCCCATGACCAGATAGGGTGCGTTGATGTCATTCATCTCCTCACAGGTGCACTGCAAGCTGTCTTTGAGCCACAGCACAGATTTCTTCAGGTCCCTCTCGGACACGCCGTTGAGCTTGTAGATGGTCTTGCTCTTGGTCTCCAGGATGATCTTGGTATCTCTGTTGATGTAGGTTATCTCCTTCACTTTGATTTTCAGCGCTGTGAAGATGAGAGAGGGCAAGAAAGTATCATACTGTTGACGTCGAGGGAATGCAGTACCACATTGCTAGTTTCCTTACCCTATTCCCTTTCTGTTTGTGTGACTCGGCCTGTGGGAGGGAGGAGGAGCTTCCTGGTGCCCATGAGACTGTCAGAGGTTGCAGGTAGGAGGTTGAGACCTGGGGAGGCAGGTGGCTTCATTTTTAAAGCCTCAAAACATTTGCCACGCACTTTGTTTCAAACCCACCATTCTTTCAAAACCCTCTCTCTTTGCAGGACTCAATCAACTCTTTTCATTTCCTTGTGTTTGTAAGAAGGTTGCATGTGGTTCACTCTCTCCCAACAAATGACTTCCCTATTGGAAACTTTAGCATGAAAAGGAATGCCTGAGTCTGGGATGAAACATGATGCTTCTGTGTCCGTAAACTTTAAACTCGATTTATTATGTCAGAGGGGTTTTTGGACAAACCTGTAAGGAAATTGTATCACACAATCATTGTTTTCTAAAGAACAGATTACAGGGAGGGAGAATTGATCTTACAGCTGCATTTGATTTGGTAAAGTAACTAGGAGAAAAAAGAATATGCAAGTCTCTTTTTTAAGAGCACAACATGTTGAGCCATAAAAGTGTTTTTCTGAAGACCTCATCCTCATATGCCTTCCAAGGCCAGGGCGTTTACAGAACATATATGTACGGTTTCCAAAATGTACATGTAGACTCATTAGAATGCAAAGACCAAAAGAAAGTGGTTTACTATAAAGGACATGTTTTATAGTCATGAACAGTATGCTTTGGGAAAGAAAACCTTACAAAACACGCTGGAGTTAAATTTCAAGACTCCGTGAAGGCAGGAAAGGGATAGAATTTTAAGGCTAGAAGAGATCGTCTCTTGGAATCTCTTATTAGTACACAAATAATCTTAAATCCAGAGAAGCTGGGTGACATGTATGAGGTCACCTAGCTAGGTGGTTTCCTAATTGAGTCTAGTACTTAGAACTCCTGTTCCCAAACCATCTCCTGTAACCCCACTGTGGTCTCTTGAGGCAATGTCAATTTTTTTTTTGTACTGATTGTAGCATTAATGTGTCCAACTCCAATGTGTTCTAAGACTGTGGATGCCACCATTCTGTGCAGATGGTGTGCAAATATGACTTCCTGACTTTGAGAAGATTTAATCTGTTGTTTAAAATAGTAATAGAAGGTGAGTTTTCTGTGTATAACTCTTTGAGGTTTTCTTTTTAAAAAAATAGAAAGGTAATTTGACTGAGGATGGCTTTCTAGTCAACCAGGAAATTATAAAAGTAAATCAAGGATGCTATGACTTGGTGAACCATGGTTTTGTATGATAAGGTATTCATCTGAATTGTATACTGTGTTCTCTGAGTTTATAAGATTCAGGTCCCAGAACAAGCCATGTGGAAATGTTGGTGAGAGCCTTGTCTATAGCACAGGTAGGGTTTTTGGTCAAATGAAACATTCTTGAACTTCAAACATCAGAAAAATCATCACTTTTAACTAGGAGGAAGATTTATTATTCAACTTTGTCTTGCTTCAAAGTGTTGCAAATTCTCACTATGGGAAAATATTAGGAGTTTCCTCCTTGGATTTTTTCAGTGGGGACCAAACTCAAAGTTCCCTAAACTTTTCCTGCCTTGGAAGATGTGATGGGGATGCAGAATGTGGTAAGAGACAGAGGTAATGGTACTCTCTGGTCCAGCAGTAGGTTGTATACATAGGAAGGGAGTTCTAAGCTGTTTTTAAAAAATTTATCAGTGCTTGCACAACTGAAGTCAGGAGGTGTTCCACATTTTCCCTGTATGTCAGCAGCACAGTGGGGAAGAGTGATATTTTCCAGGAGGATTCAAGTTAAACAAATTAGATGTCTACGCTTCTTACTTTCACTCCACCATTACTCCCCAAAGAACAAAAGCAATATCAAATACTGCTTATAAACTGAGAGTATGCTCTGCAGTTCTTGAAATTGTGCTTCATGATCCCTTTATGGGTCGAAAGGAGAGTGGAGAAATAGAAAACAAAGCTTATGAGGTATCCATATGTGTGGTACCTTGTGTCTTAACTTCCATGTTGTTTTGGAAGATTTTTCTCTCTTTAAGGAGAGAGAACACTAGAGCGCCCTCCATACACACCCATTTTATGACTTAGGTCTTGATGGGGCATCCACAAAGCCAGTGAGTAATGTGTATGTGTGTGTGTGTGTGTTTCCCAAAGTCAACTGTTTTGGAGCTCTATGATATAACAACCAGCTTTCTCATGGACGTCAGGAGAGAGACCTGTATTTTATGTAAAGGACATAAGCTGCCAGAAGAAATGATAGAATTTTTCAGATACATTTTATTAAAACAATATTTTTCTGTCCTGCTCTTAATTAAGTCTTGTAGCATGGAAGCTAAGAACTGTGTTTGGTAAGGCACTTTGATTTGGAATTGTCTGCTGCTGACTTGCCTGGCCTTTGGCCAGTTTGAGAGTTGTATATATTTGAATCCAGCCATATGAAACCCTATCAGCTCCATCTGTGGCTCTTCCTGTGGGGAAGGGTTGGTTAAGACTTCCAGCTACCTCCCTTCTTTCTTCTTCTTTGACAGTGGGAAACCTTTGCTGATACTTAGGCTATGGTTGTTTTGGGACTAGTCAAGGTTAAACGCAAGACACTTCCTGGAAGATACCTGGAGCCATCAAGGAGTTGTGATTGGATAGTTCCAGGGTTTCAGGGACCTGACTGAGCCTGAGTTCTCTGGAATGGCAAGGTAAAGAGAATGGGACGGCATCAGCAGAGGGAGCTGCAGTGATTTCCCTCAGTCTCAAGGGCTTTGTTGAAAATGTGGAAATGTTAATATGGATGTTAGAGTCTATTACCGGTGGACAGAGCAGGGACCCTATCTGTTGACCAGTAAATTTAAATTGTGTCTGAATAAATATTTTTATTTATTTATTTATTTATTTTTTGAGTTGGAGTCTCACTCTGTCGCCCAGACTGGAGTGCAGTGGCCGCTCCCGGCCACCGCAACCTTGACCTGCTGGGCTCCGGCAGAAGCCTTCCGAATAGCCAGAATTACAGGCATGCGCTACCACACCTGGCTGATTTTTTGATTTATTGTAGAGATGAGGTCTCGACAAATTGCCCAGGCGGGTCTCGAACGCGCGGGCTCAGGCAATCCACTCACCTCGGCCTCCCAAAGGCACGGGATTACAGGCTGAGCCACCTAGCCCAGCTAGGTGAATAAATATTTTTAAAAGGTACCAACCTCTCTGACACACCAAAAGGTGCTGCCCTTGGAACAGGATGAAAGCAAGAATACCTTAGGACTGTGGGTGAAGTTCTCAGCTGCTCCCAGCTCTGAGTTCACCATTGATCTAGTGTCTAACTGGGCTCTTCACCTTAGTCCTAAGGCCTGAAGTCAGCAGGTGAGGTGCTGATGGGGTTCTTCCATGCGGACAAGTTCCCAATTCTCTTTTCTCTTAGAATCCTCTCGAGGGGAGTGACTTATACTTTGTGGAACTTGAGTGACATATCACCCATATTTTTTATTGTCCTTGTCATCACTGGATCTTTCATGTATCTTGGTAAAGTAAATTTCTCAGATTTTTTTCTTTTTAAACTATTTGCCAAAATGTGGCAAATGTATCTAGGTTTATTCATTAAAAAATTTTAAAATGTTAAATTATAAGATACAAATTAATTACAAATTTTACTTAAATATTTTGGAAAATGGTTTGTAAATATTTTCTAAATTGTTCTATAACCAGGTGTGATAGTGTGCCAATAGTGTTATTATTTTCAAGTTTTCTAATTAACTGCTGATTGCATCTTGATGCTCTGACATCAGGTATATTTTTTAGTTATTGTGGAATTATAACTAAAAAATTATGTGGTGCACAAAATGATTTTTTTTGAAAGATTTAAGATGGTGTTTCAAGGTTGCTAGGAGTCCCATGTTAGGTATCTTCTCAGTAAACCATTTATTTGAATTTTAGGAACCTCTCCCTGACAAATGATTAACCTGTACCTTAGATAGATATACTAATGGTAGAACACAGAGGAGCAAATCATCATGGGTTCTGAATAAAATAAAAATATTTTGATGCTAGAGTAAATTTTCGTTTGTGGCCAATTCAGTGCTTTGAACCTGCTTTGCTGGGGCTAATAATTACGTCCATTCAATTACACATCAAGTAATTGAAAGAGGATATGGCTCAAGATTATGCTTGTTGGCAAGAAAAAACCAAAATGAGATTAAAAATGTGCCATGGAAAATTGGTGACTGGAGTAATTCTCATGATTTGGTTAGAGCGTAACAGAACAATGACTCTCTCATAACAAGATACAGCTCAGTACAAGACAGTTCAGTAAGGAGGGAACCAGGAAAACCATGGTAGATGATTTTGGGAAGCATGACCTGTGATTGTGTTTTACTCAATCTTTATCAAGCACCATCTTAATTATTTGTCCCTTTATGTCTTATTGGTAAAAATAACACTTTTGAATGTGAAATTGCTGTTGTATTACTTACCAAAATCATTTTTACAAAGAGTTTCCATTATGTCGTTGTCATCATCGTTTTTATTTTTGCAGGCTTCACATACCTTGGGAGCTAGAAAGGTGAAAAAACAGTCTTTTTAGTAAACTTGCTTAAAAGGGAACAGCAGGTGGCGTTTATAAACAACTCGAAGGGACTTTTCCAGGCAAGAGGAGCAATTGTCCTATAGGACCCCAGCTTCTGCCTCCTCGATAAAAGTAGGATCATTCATTCCTAAAAAGTTCCCCATGCTTTCCATTTTTGGTGGCCAGAAATGTTGAACACAGCATTATTAAACACAAAAAGTTGTGTTTAATAATTGATGACTCTCAGATAAATGGGTTTTATGGGCAGAGTGTGCAGGTGGGTAGCCACAGTTAGCTGGAACAGGGTGCAGTGTTTCAGCTCATCCTCTCCATCCCTGGGACAGATTCAGTTTGAAAAAGTTATTCCTAAGAAGAAAGCACCCAAAGAGCCAGAGACCCTTGAGGGATTTGGGAAAACCCGTAACCATAAAATGCAGCCAGAAGATTGTCTTTCTCAGTCGCAGGACACCACCATAGCCCACTCAATTCAGCAGAACTCTGTGTCTCTGGGGAGTCTTTTCAACCCTGGATGGGGGAGATGGCTGGCTAGTGCCATCAGGACCACATAAGGACTGTTTCCACCTTGGGAACACACCTCACTGATGACAACAACCCACTCTCATCAGTTCTCTGTCACCTGTGCCTTCTGCCAAGTTTGTGCTTGAGTTAGGAGACAATTATTTAATTGTGATCAACAAGCTCCCTGTACTGTTTCTTCTTGCTCCTCTTTGCCTGTTTTAAACTCAGAACAAGCAAACAAAGCTGTCGTTCCTGAAGCTAATCAAAGATGAAGCTAGAGGGTTTATGGGTCTGACCAAACCTAAGAATTGTGTTCCAGCACAGCTAGAGAGCCCGCTGAAGTCTCTTCTGAAACAATCTGATTTCTTGGGAAAAGGAAAAAAGAAAACGTATAATGCTGCCTTTAAAATGTAGGTGAAATTAGAAGATTTTTAGTAATAGGAAAAAACTTTATGTGATTCATAACAGGAGTTATTTCTCAGACTAGTCAGAAAAATCATGGAGAACAAACTTTGAAGAATGCGAACTTTTATTTTGAGGGAGAAAGGTGACTTTTGGGGTAAATGTTCCATGTATAATGTTGCTGTTGACAGTGGAAAGAAATAAAAAACAAAAGCAACACACACAAAACAGCCCTTAAGTCCCCTCACCCATACAAAATCAAATATTTCCAATTAGGAGCTCCCAGGAGGTTGTATAAAATGTTACTAACCTGTATTGGTTGGTCTACGGTATATATTGGACAAATGCTTGAAAAATGCCAAACATTTGCAATAAATTAGAAATCCAACCAATAAGATGATCGCAAACTCATGGTGCCTGCCAGGAAAGATTGCTAAAGAGACTCTGCATTTTCCTGAACTAATGATGTCTGTAGGAAAACAATTAGAGATTGAAAGAGAAAAGCTGCCGAATCCCAGAGGCATAAGGAAGCCCCCTTCGCATCCCAGGGGCCCTAAATCAGCCCCACACGTTGATTGTGTTTTTCTCTCAGGGGGGCTACCAAGAGCCCATAAGGTTTCCATTGCTTTGATGGTTTTTGCAGAGAAACTCTCCCTCTGTTTTCTAAAACCCCGGGAAACTCTCTTTTGCACGATTTTCTCCCGCTAATCTTGAAAACCACTCCTAAGACAAAAGCTGATAGTGACGGAAATCCCTCCTCCTCAAACACCTGAGCCTTTACAACCAACACTGTTTTCCACACGCTCTGTGGCAGCCCAGGTTTATTTCCAAAACCCAAGTTAGCAAAGGACAAAAAGTACCCTAGAAGGTTACCCGCTGGTGCACCAGGCTATCCTGCCCGCAGGGGAAATGCTCCTGGACTGGAGTCCCGCCTGGAGGTGAGAGGGGGCTGAGAGGCTGACAGAGGAGCCAGGGCCAGATGCCCTCTCTACTCCTGCCACCCTCGACGCGCTCAGACGCGCAGCCCCAGCGCCAGCATCTTTAATAACTGGACATCTATTTTTCAAAAGGCCGCCTTTCCGTTCTTCGTGCTCGTCTATTTCTTTTAAAAATAACTCTCCCTAAGTATAACTCCGGAGGAGAATGAGAGACGTGGGATGGGGACGAGGAGGTCTCAAATTTGACCCAGGCTTGTCGCGATGACGACCAGGGCGTCTGCCCTTCCCAGGATTGGTGCGGGGACGCACCGGGAGGCCGGGCAGGGGCGGGGTCCCCCGGGAGCGCCTCGGCCTTGCTGGGAGCGGGGAAGCAGGAGGGAGGGCTTACCTTCCTCTGTGGCCAGCAGGAGGTGGTCGCTGCTGGCGAGGGGGATGCAGAGGTCATTGTCCTGGGGAAAACGGTCGCACTCGAGCATGTCGGGCCAAGGGAAGCCGAAGGCGGACATGACTGGGGCGCAGCGGTCCTTCACCTGCACACAGAGCGAGTGGCACGGCTGGATGGTCTCGTCCAGGTCGTCGAGGCAGACGGGGGCGAACAGCGAGCACAGAAACTTCTTGGTGTCTGGGTGACACTGCTTCATGACCAGCGGGATCCAGGCGCCCGCCTGCTCCAGCACCTCCTTCATGGTCTCGTGGCCCAGCAGGTTGGGCAGCCGCATGTTCTGGTACTCGATGCCGTGGCACAGCTGCAGGTTGGCCGGGATGGGCTTGCAGTTGCTGCGCTTGTACGAGAAGTCAGGCTGGCCGAAGAGGAAGAGCCCGCGCGCCGAGCCCAGGCAGCAGTGCGAGGCGA